GGAGGGGACACTTTTAGGCATAGGCATGAGTTCTACTTTAACCAGTGCAGGCCACAGTGTCATATTTTGTGAGTGTAATTTGAAGCATATTTGTTATACATTTGTTTAACAGCACGCTGTGAGATTAGTATCACTTTTGGTAAGACTGTTGAAAAGTGTTTGGTGAATTTATTGCAGACGGTGGTTTAATCAGTTTTTTTCTTTTTCGGAAAATATGTAGGGGGAGGATTGATTGATCATCAGGGGTACCACATCTCTTACTGTTTCAACAAACACATACTCCAATCATTGTGACTTTTTATGGACCCAGACAAAGATAATACATACTGTATTTCTATGTATAAAATATCTATATCTATTTTATATATAGTAAAAATTATAAACTTTTAAAAAATGGCTTTGTATGACAGACACATCAATAAAATAAAGGTTTATTTGCTACAGCCTTCATATATACCTGGAAGCCAGCTTCTGCATTAATAAGGCATTCAGTACATTTTATACATGTTACGAATAGTCACTGTCATTCTTCTTCCCATATGGGTATAGACACATGTCGCAAAGTACAGAAGAGGCGGCACAACTTTTGACATGTTTCGTGCTTAGCTTTTTCTGAAATGAGTATTGTTCACTTAGAATAGTGTGTGTGTGTATGTTGGTTGGTTATTCACTCATATATTACATGATTTAGTGTTATCAGTAGTATATGTGTGTCTTTAGGTATGTATATGTGCAAGAATGATTGAGATATATTCATACACAGTGCTCAGCATAAATGAGTACACCCCAACAGATTTGTCAGAAAACCTTTACTTTCAGAATCAACATTTTCTATGGAACACTATACTGCAAAATACTCCCACAAATGCGGGCCATTGATTGCAAACAAGATTTGTTCATTTGCACACACAAAAAAAGTATTTTTCCTAACAAATTAATTCAAGACAATGTTGTAAAAATGAATACACCCCAGTGAAAGTCTTAGGAGCATAGCTAAATTTTAGACAAAATCCTAATTAACAAGAATTCAACTACAGGTGAATCTAATTATTCATTAAACAGGTGTCCAGCAGACAGTTGCTTAGAAAAGGGCATTCCTTAACAAAGAAAATCCCTTCCCATGTCATGCTGTCAGCAATGGCACCACATGGAAGAGAAATGTCAAAGGCCTGAGAAAGAAAATAATTTCTTAACACAGGAAAGGTGAAGGCTATAAGATCAGCAAAGCTTTACTTATCAGTCAGAATACTGTAGCGTAGCAAATGTGATACAAAAATGTAAAAATGTTTGAACTGCAACTATGTCACAGAGACGTCCAGGCCATCCACGAAAGTTAACACCTCGATAGGAGAAGGGTGAAAGAAAATCACCATTCCAGTTCACTGCAGTTAGCTAAAGAAATAGAAAGCCAGACTGGGGTGATTGTTTCCCGTGACACAATATGGCATACACTGCAGAGGAATGGCTTGCATGGGTGTCGCCCATGAAGCAATCCTCTCCTAAAGCCCATTCCTGCCTAGAATTTGTCAGGGCCCATGCTGAAAAAGACGACTACTGGGACTCTGTAGTAATGAGACCAAGATAAATGTGTTTGGAACTGATGGCTTCAAAACTGTGTGGCATCACACAGGAGTACAAAGAAAAATGCACGGTGCTTACAGTGAAGCATGGTGGTGGCAGTGTCCTTCTGTGGGGTGGCATGAGTGCTGCTGGTGTCAGGGAGCTGCATTTCATTGATGGTATCATGAATTCACAGGTGTACTGCTCTATATTGAAAGAGAAGATGCTATCATCACTCCATGCCCTTGGTCATCATTCTAACATGACAATGATCCAAAACACACATCTAAGGCCACAGTTGCATTTCTGAAGAAGAACAGGGTGAAAGTGATTCAGTGGCCAAGTATGTCTCCTGATCTGAACCCAATCGAACACCTATGGGGAATTCTGAAGAGACAAGTTGGGCATCACTCTCCATCCAGCATCCAGGCTCTAAAAGAGGTCGTTCTTGATGAATGAAAAAAGATAGATGTTGCAATATGTCTCCAACTTGTTCATTTCATGCCTAGGAGACTTGGTGCTGTCCTTACAAATCATGGAGGTCATACAAAATACTAGATGGAGTAGTTTTTGTTGTGGGGTGTATTCATTTTTGCATCAACTAATTTGAGTAAAATTAAGTTTTTATAATCTAGGTTATATTATTAACCTTACTTTCATGTAATGAGCTAAACAAATGTTCTACAAAACTCAAGTTTTGTCAAAATTTTGGAAATTGTTCTTGTGTTCATTGAGATATTGAATAAAATCTTACTTTTCTAAAGAGGTTTACTTATTTATGCTGAGCACCAGGGGTGGTCTGGCCATTTGGGCCCTCGGGCACTGCCCGAGGGCCCGGGGTCAATAGGGGGCCCCATGAGATGCCCCTGGTATCTTTATTTGGCTTTTTCATAGGCTTTTTTTGGCTGTGGGTGAGGACACAGGGGCCCCATGATGCCTTATTCCCCGGGGGCCCCATGAGTTGTCAGTTCACCCCTGCTGAGCACTGTATATACAATATATGGTACTAAAGTTTGTCACCATTTCACTGGTACACACAAATTTAAGGTTTGACATGTTGGGTATCTGTTTACTTAGTGCAACATGTCCCAGTGGTCTCAATTGTACCGGTAAAGTTGGACCATTTTTTTGGCTTATTGTAAAGCAACAAAGAAGTTAATCATCCAGTGGGGACACCTGTTCCTGTGACAACTCTCTAGAATGGAAATTCTTTGGAAATTTTTGGGTGATTTCATCTTATTTTCTGCTGCATTTGAAAAAAATTGTCACCAGTGAGACACAGGAAAAAACAACCTAATAGGTGGTTTGACTATTACCTTCTAATTTTAAAACAAGGAAAAAAGACCAAAAGAAAAAAAAAAGTTGGTCTTGTGTACACTTTAATATGGTGAGAAAGAGACTCGAATAAGGTGCTTTGGAACCATTCAACATTTTGCTTTCAGTTCACTTTTTGTTTATTATGTTATTCTTAAAACAATGTTACCTTTTTGTCACTGTGATTCTGCCTGTGTTTCAAAATTGCATGGCAATTGCAGCACAACATGCAGTGCGCGTTTGGGTGCCCTTTGCCAAAGGCACCCCAAATGGGATGCAGTTCTGCCGCAATTGTTGCACGACACAATCACATGGCAATCTCAGCAAACCGTGCCTTCACAAATCGTGTGAATCTTGTCACCCGAAAAAGGAGCAGATTATTTTCAGGCGAAATATACGCATAGGGAAGCCCCTTTAAGTGAATGGGCAGCCCTATGCGACATGAAGAATTGAAAATGTGAATGGGGCATATGCATTCTGCTAACAAAGTATGCCACAGCCTGTTGTTTGTGAAAAGACTAGAAGATCTTTGGAAAACCATTTACCTTTAGCCCTGGTTCATACTGCTGTGACTTCTCGTATAACTTCCTGCCATGTGCAACATAGAAGGTCGCATGACAAGTCAAAACATTCATTTCAGTACTGTCTTAATTGCTTCGACTCAAGTCACAGTGACAAAAAAAAAATTTCTCCATGCACTACTTTTCTGCTTCTTCCATGTGACATGAGTGCCATAGACTGAAATCACAAATGTCGCAAGGAAGTAATTTCTTTGTTTTATGTTTGTGACTTTGGCTGCAACTTCAAAGGGTTTTGTAAGTTCAATAATATGTGTCACACTCTGCATCGTTATGATTTGCCAAAGTAGCATGAAAGTAGCATTGAAGTCACATCAAGTCGCAAGGCAGAGTTGCACTGGAAGTTGCATGGGGGTCGCAGCAATGTAAACCAAGCCTAAGCCTGGGTTCACACTGATGCGGTATGGAATTTGCAGCGGTTTCTGTGCAAATTCAGCACCGCATCACAATCGCACCCTGTTCATGCAAACCGCTGTTGCTGTGTATGTTAAGTTAACAACACCCCGAAATCAGTCCTCAAAACGCGGTGCAGTATCCGATCGCATAGGTATGAATACCCTTGCGATCCAATTCTAGTGCGGACCAAAAAAAGGGTCCTGCACCTTTTTGGTGCGGATGCGGTGAGATTTGAGCCATACAAAATGTATGGCTCAAATCACACCGCACATAATTTGCATATGATTTGCACAGGAATGCGGTGTGGTTCCTATGTGATTCACATGCGATATGCTGTACTGCACACGTGTGAACCCAGGCTTAAACTGTCTAGCTGGTTAGAAATGGGCACACAGGTATTTTTCCTATATACTTTTATAAGTTGTTCAGGCTTATGCAAAAATGTAGTGCAAAGTCCACTGGCCATGTGCTAAATGTGGTGAGCCTATCAAATGTCATTGTTTTCCTATGACTACAGTGAACTTATATTTTGATGGTGTGGGTTACTGCATTTGGACACAGTGACTACACTTTGTATCTTACTAAATTAGCACCTTGTGTTTTTTTTTGCTTTGAATCCATTGTTCTGATGCACAGCAACAAAAGTTGAAAATAGTTAAACTGAATGGGTCCCACATTTTCTTTTCCTTTTAACTTTGTTACAGATGAGGAGAACCAGCTGGGTTGGTTCTGCCTTGAAGATGAGGGAAATCAGGTCAAAAAGGAAAAGCACCCCTTGCTTGTTAAGTATTTGCCAGTAATCATGTCAAAGCAACAAGAATTTAAGGTAGGTCATTTTTAGAACGCATACATTGGCATGTTTCAGGGTGTTGAAGAAAAACACATACACTGTATATGCTTCATGCATGGCTTTTTTATCTCATCTTTGAATTTTTTTTTATTTTCCTTTTATAAAAAAAACTCAATTGGAACTTAGTATTCAGAAGATGCAGATTTCAGGCTCCCATCTGGCCTTGTCAGTAAACGTGTAACGTATTAGCAGTGGTGTCTCACGGACTCAGATGTCAGTGCACATGCTTTACACGTCAGGCAACAACGTGTGATCTTATTTATAGTGCTCTCTTACCTTCCACATGATCGATGTCCCTGCAGGTTAAAGATATCTACTGTATATGATTTAAAGATATTTATAGACCCAGGTATGGACGTGATGTTCTATGACCCAATTAGCATTTCCCTGATTTATTTTCAGATTGAATGTGCTGTCTATAACCCTGAACATTATCTCAGTAGTGAAAATGATCCAGATACACTTTCCATGCATCATGGGTTTTTGTGGGTAAGTGAATCTTGTTAAGGTTTTTGATCTATTAGTACAAACAATTGTATATTATATACTAAACTGATTGTTTATTTTGATTTTCTAGTCCATCAATTTACAGATATATATAATTGTTAAAAATTATAAAAACACAAACGGCTAAATAAAGAACATAGTAATTCAGTCTGTCTATCCTAGATCATTGATTTGCCACAAAAAAAGCGGTTTAAAAAAATAAGTGCATATCTTTCTACAAAAGATGATTCGATTGGTATGAATGGCTCCCTTGTGTGTGTGTGTGTGTGTGTGTGTAGGATGGGGGGAACATAGATCTTACAGAGTAGTATGATGGTAGGAAAAACCTTCTGAAATATCCCCTAGCTTCTTTTGAATTTATACTGTAAACAACGATTTGGAGCTGTCTGAAAAATCTTGTTCACTGTGCTGAGAGCATGCAGTGAGCACACTCTGAGCACAGAAGAGCATTTCTCCAGGGATGCATATGTGCAGCATCTCAGCATTCGGGTCCACCCACCCTGCTGCTCCATATGTGCCTATGCCAGTGGCAACTGGATAAATACTCCTTCCCCAAAAACACACTTAGGTTCATTCCCACCAGTGGACATGCATTATGGTGCACAATACACAGGTGCTGGTGTGCTTTGTGCATTAGTACTGCGGTGTGGTGTTATTTTTTTGTTTTTAAACTTTATATAAATTACACTCATTCAACACTATGTGCATCAGTACATTGTGGCCCATTTCTGAGCAGTGTTGGGATTAAATGTGTGCCCAAATCATTTTATTGCAATGCATACAAATGTAGTGCATATACAGCAATGCAGATTTGCATTACCACAAGACGAGGTGTAAAGCCAACCTCCAAATTTATAGTATTTGCTTATTTACAGTTTTGCATATGTTCACTACCACTGACTTGGAGCATGCATTTGCAGATCACGTGCTGCAGCTCCTTTTATGTTCCAAGTTAGTGACTTACCATGTAAATAGAGTTGTAAAATTTCCGAAAATTTTGAAGCCATGAAAAAAAATTAAAAATTCAACGTGGAGTAGTTTTACAAATTGAAAGTAAGGTGTCCTTTTATCATGCAGCGGTAAATGACCACTGCTCAGTTCTCCGGCATTCTCAGAGGAGAGAGTTATCCTCTGAATGCCTTTGTATGAAGCGGTGTAGATCACTTCTCCGAATGAAGGGAGAAGCGATTTACAAATTTTTAAATGCTGGAAAACGGCTGCTGTTACTATAATCTCACGAGATTACAGTAAGAGATCAGTCAAACACCGTGTACTAAGCAGCGGTAAATTATCGCTGCTTCATTTGTGGTTCCCCCCTATACTCCACCTCTGGGCTGGAGAATCTGGAGGGAGAACACAGATCGCCAGTGAAGGGCTGACATCGCTCCTTCATATACTGGCCATCTGTGTGCTGAGATGATCAGTGGAGAACATGTTCTCTGCTGATCATCTCTGTTTCCTAAACCACTAATGATCGGAGATCAGCAAGGATCCTTAGGATCGCCGCTGATCTCTGTTTCATAAACGGAAATGCAGTGCTTGCTTGAAATAAAAGTACAGCTTATTCAGTAAATAACCTAAACATGATTTTTAAAATTTTATGGTGATCCAGAAGCAACAGAAAGTGTTTCTGGAATGAGAACTCTGGAGGGGGGAGTCAGTTGCACTTTCATTATGAACCTTATTTAATTCCATTAAGTATTTTAATGTCTTTAGGGCACCCCTGGCATACAAGGATCACTTTTACTGTGTTTTGTCATCCTTGTAACATTTAGAAAATATTATTTCCTCTCAGTATGTGTGAATATTTCAGCTTTGCTTTCAGCAACAATTGCACTGTGGAAATGTTTCCATACTCTAGATGCTGGTCTTACTATTTTACTGAGAGGAGGAAAAGTAAAACCAATTTACTGAGCATACTATAGGTACATTATGCTGTGATGGTGGAGAACATTAACAGGAATCATTTAAAGATTATAAAGATAAACTAATATGTCAGACAGATTTACCCTCTTTCCTGTGAATTAAGACCAAAGAGGAGGACAGAAATTATCATCTACAGGTATCCCAACAATCACCCAGCTGTAGTAGGTACAAGATGGAGCCCACAAGGAAACTAAACTGGAGCCTTTTCCCCTGCAGTTCCCACTAGGGGTAGAAAAGCATATTTCTCATGGCTGAGAACTGCATTAAGATGTACAGTGTTACTTGAATTGTATTCCAGGATCTGCTTGTTTTTATCTGAGAGAACGTGCAATAATTTAAGACTTTACGGAAAGTCTCAGGACTCTTTCATTAATGTCTTTGTTATATAGTTTGAATACTAGGTCATAGATGTTCTTTTTTTTTATCACTGTAAAAACAAATTCCACAATTTTTTTTCCATCTTTGGAAAAAAAACGGTTTCCCAATTTTTTCCGTTTATTTTCAAGGTCTTCCCATCTCTACATGCAATAAAGGAATATTATAGAAAACTATGTATTTTAAAATCAAGTGATCAGTGTCATCTTCTTTGTTTCTGTCCTGACAGATTACTCAGTAGCGTCATATAAGAACGTGTGGCACAATTTTATATTTCCTGCATATACATTTTCCAGCACTTTTACAACTTTGTTAGTAAATTACAGACAGGCCACTCACTATAGAACTAAAAGTAACAACTGTTCAAGAAACTTCTTTACTTCTTCTAGAGCTCATGCTGTGACATTGAATGTGGAAGATAACACCTGTGAAATAAAACTAGATAAACAAAGGAATTAAACCCTTTTCTGTTGATGTATGGTGATGTATCGAGCTGCGAAAATCACAAGGTGGCTCTTTGTTGTGTGTTTTGCTTAGATTGGCAGCTGCACTAATCAGATGGGTCAGATTGCTGTTGTTTCACTTCACAACCGTAGCCCGAAGGTGATAGAGTGTTTCAATGTAGAATCACGCATACTCTGCATGGTCTGTGTCCCTGAGGAAGAAAGGCACAAACAATTAAGTGATGTCCCAGATTCCGAATGTGGTTCTTCTTCGCGAGCACCAGATGTGCCCACGATTTGCCTGGGCATGGAAGAAGGAAGGTAAATGTTATTCATTCTGATATATCTGCTTTAAGTCACAATGTCTCTTAGATATTAGCTATGGAACTGTGAACTATTCGGCTGTAACCGTGTTTCTAAGATATTCCTACCAAAAGTAATAACTTCTTGAAATTACATTTTATGGCTCTTTCTAAAAACAGATTTTATGCTAATTCAAGAAAATTCAACAACTTTAAGTGCTTGGATTTAACTTCCTGGTTGCCTAGATACTTGTACTTATGTAATATATATGTGCATATTAATAATCTAAAACAGATGCTGTCGTAAAGTGAACCTGCAAGAATTGAAAGCTGTCAATGCTCAGCTCTTGATATTAATGCTATTTGTAGACCAGAGCACACCTCTTCAGCAGTATAAACGAGTGTAGCTCTATAATCTGATGAGTATTGATTTATGACCATTATTCATTTTAGTTGATGAACATAATATTTGGGAATATAGAAAGATGCCCTTGCTACATCAACTTAATGTTTGCCTTGCACTTTTTCTAGCATATGTGTCTACAAAAGTAGCCAAGGATCGAAAAAAGTTCGTCTGCAGCACTTTTTCACTCCAGAGAAATCTACAGTCATGAGTCTTGCCAGCGCATCTCACACTTTATATGCAGGTCTTGTAAATGGAAGTCTTGCAACCTACTCAAAGATGGAAGGTAAATTAACAATAATATGGCTAGCTTTAGGTTCACTCAGAACATATCATGTTGTTTCCAATGTAAAAAAAAAAAAAAAAAAAAAAAAGGTGTTGCAAAACAGCCCAATCGAATCATGCATCGGTTTCTCAACAAACTGCAGCCTATCTGGGCAGGTACAAATAATGTACAATAAGCAACAAGCTAAGACAATCATCAGTCATTAATAGCAAAATAGGGTCCCATTGGGACTTGAGACTGCGAGGTCAACAGCAAAAAGAGAAAACTTTTGTCGGACCATGTGCTGGAGACAGCCACAGCTTGTATGGTGTGTCGGGCTCACTTCAATTCTCTTCAGACAATGAGGGGGGGAGCCCCTTATGGCCTCGAGCTAACTATATCCAAAAAAAGGATAATGGGAGGACAAAAGGAGAGAAAAGTGTAGAAGGAGAGAAAGAAAAAGGGAAAAAGGGGGGGGGGCATAGAAGGGGAAGGATGAGAAGCAGAGTGTGGGATGTAGGGTTTGCATCCTCTGAGTTCCACACAGAACTGCAACATAGCGGCCAGCTACGCACTGAAAGATTGAGGCTGTGTTTGTAAGGAAATCCAGTCTCTGCTATGTGCTGAGTGGGGAGGAGGAGATCTGTTGAGTGCCCTGTGTGCAGTGTGGGGAGTGGCTGGACAAGGCCAGCTACAGTGGATATAAAAAGTCTACACACCCCTGTTAAAATTACAGGTATCTGTGATGTAAAAAAATTAGACAAAGATAAATCATTTCAGAACTTTTTCCACCTGAACAACAAACTGAAATATTTTAGGTGGAGGGAAGTAAAAATAAAAAACTAAAATAACAGGTTGCATAAGTGTGCACACCCTTACACTAATACTTTGTTGAAGCACCTTTTGATTTTATTCCAGCACTCAGTCTTTTTGGGTATGAGTCTTATCAGCATGGCACATCTTGACTTGGCAATATTTGCCCACTCCTGTGCACAGACATTTTCAGATCACCCCACAGATTTTCGATTGGATTCAGGTCTGTGCTCTGGCTGGGGCATTCCAAATCTTCTGGTGAAGTCATTCCTTTGTTGATTTGGATGTATGCTTTGGGTCGTTGCCATGCTGAAAGATGAAGTTCTTCTTCATGTTCAGCTTTCTAGCAGAAGCCTGAAGGTTTTGTGCCAATATTGACTGGTTTTTGGAACTGTTCATAATTCCCGCTACCTTGACTAAGGCCCCAGTTCTAGCGGAAGAAAAACAGTCCCAAAGGATAATGCTGCCACCACCATGCTTCACTGTGGGCATGATGTTCTTTTGGTGATATGCAGTGTTGTTTTTTTGCGCCAAAAATATCTTTTGGAATCATGGCCAAAAAGTTCAACCTTGTTTCATCAGACCATAACACATTTTCCAACACGCTTTTGGGAGACGTCAGATGCGTTTTTGCAAAATTTAGCCGGGCTTGGATGTTTTTCTTAGTTAGAAAAGGCTTCTGTCTTGCCACTCTACCCCATAGCCCAGACATATGAAGACTACGGGAGATTGTTGTCACATGTACCACACAGCCAGTACTTGCCAGATATTCCTGCAGCTCCTTTTATGTTTCTATAGGCCTCTTGGCAGCCTCCCAGACCAGTTTTCTTCTCAAATTTTCATCAATTTTGGAGGGACCTCCAGTTCTTGGTAATGTCACTGTTGCGCCATATTTTCTCCACTTGATGATGACTGTCTTCACTGTGTTCCATGGTATATCTAATGCCTTGGAAATTCTTGTGTACCATTCTCCTAACTGATACCTTTTAACAATGAGATACCCCTGATGCTTCGGAAGCTCTCTGCGGACCATGGCTTTTGCTGTTGTAGGATGTGACTAAGAAAATGTCAAGAAAGACCTACTAGAACAGCTGAGCTTTATTTGGGGTTAATCAGAGGCACATTAAATGATGGCAGGTGTGTAATGACTTCTATTTAACATGATTTTGAATGTGATTGCTTAATTCTGAACACAGCTACATCCTCAATTATAATAGGGTGTGCACACTTATGTAATCACATTTTTAGTTTTTTATGTTTACTCCCACCAAAAAAAAAAAATTCAGTATTTTTCAGTTGAGTAGTACAGTTTATAGTTCACATTACCCCTCCTCCCAGTCCAAAATCCCCCTTCCCTGCACAAATCTTTGCCCCCCCCAAATCCCCCTTGCCAGCTAAAAATCCACCAAAATTCACCCCTACTAGCACAAATCTCCCCACCTAATAAAAAATCACCTCACATAACATCCTATTTCCCCTCAAACCCCCCCCCCCCCCCCTCGTCCCCCCTCGCACAAACCCCTCCTCCTAGCACAGTCCTCTTTAAGTTACCTTTCCAAGGAGAATTGAAGGAGAGGAGAGAGCCTGGTGGAGGTATGAGCTGTGCTGTACTCTCCCCCTCCTGTCAGAACAATAATTAAGTTAATTACCTGCTTCCTCATCTCCTCCAAGGACTGCTAACCTCCTGGCAGCAGGAAATGTGGTGGATAATCAAATCGTGTACAGTCCGATCTGGAGAGATCTTGTGTCATCTGGTGTATAAAGGAGCGCTCCACTGACAGGAAGGGCAGAGTACAGCACAGCCCACACCTCCTCACGGCTCTCTCATCTCTGTCACTTCTCCTATCCGAACTTCACTATGCCAGGCTGCCCCCCCCCCCCCCTCCGTCCTACCATCCTAGCCCTGGGGGGCGGGGAAGGAGAGAGATCAGCAAGTAAGGCAAAATGTCCATGGGAGGGGCCAGGCTGAGGGTGCACAACTGAAATCTGGGAGGGACAGAGCCCACTCCAGCACCCCCTAGATCCGGACATGGTATATAATGTGGGAGTGTGTAATGTACAATATCATATATAAGGTACAGGAGTGTGTAATGTACAGTAAATAGTGCAGGAGTGTGTATTGTACAAAAAAGCCCACATCACCCCCACAAGAGTGTCCTCTGTCCCCATTTACATCACCCCCCACTGTAGTGTCCTGTACCCCCCCAATGCAGTGTCCTCTGTCCCCTTTTCATCACCCCCCCCCCCCCCACACACACACATTGTAATGTCCTCTGACACCCTCCCCCCATATTGGTGTGCTATACCCTCAATGCTGTGTCCTTTTCCCCCCTCCCCCCACAGTAGTGTCCTGTACAAAGCAGTGCTCTTCCCCTCTTCACCCCACATCCCCCCAACTGTCGTATCCTCTGCCCCCTTCCCCCCCCAGTAGTGTCTTGTACCCCCCCCAAACCAGTGTCCTCTGTCCCCCTCTTCACATCACCCCCGCACTGTGTAGTGTTCTCTACCCTGCCCCATAGCAGTGTTCTCTACCCCCCACAAAGTGTCCTCCTCTGCCTCCCCATCCCCTGTCCTTTTCTCATCAAAATCCCTCCCACTGCAGTTTACTCTGGACCCCTGCCCACAGAGTCTCCTGTGTCCCCCCTCCCACAGAGTCTCCTGTGTCCCCCCTCCCACAGAGTCTCCTGTGTCCCCCCTCCCACAGAGTCTCCTGTGTCCCCCCTCCCACAGAGTCTCCTGTGTCCCCCCTCCCACAGAGTCTCCTGTGTCCCCCCTCCCACAGAGTCTCCTGTGTCCCCCCTCCCACAGAGTCTCCTGTGTCCCCCCTCCCACAGAATCTCCTGTGTCCCCCCTCCCACAGAGTCTCCTGTGTCCCCCCTCCCACAGAGTCTCCTGTGTCCCCCCTCCCACAGAGTCTCCTGTGTCCCCCCTCCCACAGAGTCTCCTGCGTCCCCCCTCCCACAGAGTCTCCTGGGTCCCCCCTCCCACAGTGTCTCCTGCGCCCCCCCTCCCACAGTGTCTCCTGTGCCCCCCCTCCCACAGTGTCTCCTGTGCCCCCCCCCCCCAGTGTCTCCTGTGCCCCCCCCCCCCCCACAGTGTCCCTCTCCTGTGTCCTCCCACAGAGTCTCCTGTGTCCCCCCTCCCACAGAGTCTCCTGTGTCCCCCCTCCCACAGAGTCTCCTGTGTAACCCCTCCCACAGAGTCTCCTGTGTAACCCTCCCACAGAGTCTCCTGTGTAACCCCTCCCACAGAGTCTCCTGTGTCCCCCCTCCCACAGAGTCTCCTGTGTCCCCCCTCCCACAGAGTCTCCTGTGTCCCCCCTCCCACAGAGTCTCCTGTGTCCCCCCTCCCACAGAGTCTCCTGTGTCCCCCCTCCCACAGAGTCTCCTGTGTCCCCCCTCCCACAGAGTCTCCTGTGTCCCCCCTCCCACAGAGTCTCCTGTGTCCCCCCTCCCACAGAGTCTCCTGTGTCCCCCCTCCCACAGAGTCTCCTGTGTCCCCCCTCCCACAGAGTCTCCTGTGTCCCCCCTCCCACAGAGTCTCCTGTGTCCCCCCCCCCTCCCACAGTGTCTCCCCCACACACACTCACACACACACACTCACACACACTCACACACACACACACACACACACACACTCCCACACACACACACACCCCCACACACACACACACACACACACCACCCCACACCCCCCCCCCCCCACACCCCCCACCACACACACCCCCCCCCCCCCCCCCCCCACCCACACCCTCACACACTCACAAACTCTTGGGACGTGGGGATTTAAATCACATCTTGGGACGGTTCCAGAGAATCCAGAACAGTTGGGAGGTATGGTAATGTACAATATAGTGGAGGAGTCTTTCGTATACCTTATAGTGTATATAATGCAGGAATCTGCTAAGATGTCCATAGACTGTTCATTTTTTCTTGTTCAGCCAGTAGCTTCCTCCATCCACAAATTAGGTGGATGAAGGAATCCACAGACTGATTCCTTTGCACAGATGTTTATCAAATCACTGTTTTCAATTAAAATACACTAAAATCACTATTTGCACACATAAACACAACAAAATGTAAAAAAAATCCTGTTAAGTTCCTACTAAGGCCTCATTCACAAGGGGTGTACTGAAGTTTAAGTGTGTTTAAATGCACAGAGATGCACAGGTCTTCCGTGCATCCCTGTGCAGGCGGTCCCGTTCATGT